TGGTGACCTTATCCTCTCCATGAAATTTTTTACTGCTTTAGGGCTGGCATCCTGTCCTCTCCAGCTGTTCACAGAAGTCAGAATTCATATGTATTATGTGTTTGATGTATTGTATAAGACAAGCTGGCACGGTGGCTTGCACCTGTAATTCTAGTACTTTGGGAGGCTGAGGCAGGAGGATTGCCTGAGCCCAGGAAGTTGAGGCTGCAGTGAGCCATAATTGTGCCACTGCACTCCAGACTGGGTGATAGAGTGACCCTGACTTGTGTTTTTGATTTGTTTGCTTGTTTTGTTTTCATTTAGAGCATTGGATTGCTCTAAAACCTTTCTTGATGAAAATCGTAAGATCTCAGCTAGTTTTTTTTTTTTTGAGTTGGAGTGCAGTGGCACACTTGTGGACACCCCAGCATCACCCTGCTGGGCACCAGCGATCCTTCCACCTCAGCCTTCTAAGTAGCCAGAACTACAGGCGCACGCTACCATGCCTGGCTAATTTTTTATTTATTGTAGAGACAGGGTCTCACCATTTTGCCCAGGGGTTCAAACCCACAAACTCAGGCAATCCTCTTGCCTCAGCCTCCCAAAGTGCTGGGATTACAGACTTGAACCACTGCGCCTGGACTTCAGCTAGCTTTTAACGGGATCTAGTGTATCCCAGTCTTAGGCCCACAGACTGTAATTTTGAGTGGCATGGTCAAGGAGAACATCACTTTTAGACCCTCAGTTTCTTTATCCATAAAAAAAGGAGACAGTATGTACTCCCTAGAGTTGCTAAGGGGAGCAAAGGGGACCACACAGGAGATGCCTAGCCCTGGGCCTGGCACAGAGTAGATGCATAGGATCTTTTTGTTTCTTTTCCCTCATGCAGGGTTCACTCATTTTGTGGTTCACTTCTCTTTCTCATGCTATAACTCCTTTGCTGTTCCCTGCTCCCTTCACCTCTGCACACCTCACCAGCTACAAGTGGTATTGGTAAGCAAAGTTTTCTCTCTTCTCTTTTAGAAAGACGCACTGCAGATTCCTAAGCTAGGTCAAAATTGACGTCTATCATTCCCAAGTTTTTCATTCCATCCACTCACTTATGTGGAAATCGCTCAACTATTCCATGATTTTAAAAATAAGGCACCTTGATTCTCACTCGGTGGAAAGATAAAACTGATCTTACATTATTAGCAGGCTGCTGAATATGGAATAAGTCCCGAGAAATGATTGGAGCAATGGTTAATTTATAAAGTTGTTATTTACTGGAAATCGAATGGTATTCAGGAATTTTTGTTAATTCTCCTAGGTGTTGAGTTTATATGGGAAAATGTGCTCAATTTAAGGAGATGCATAGTGAAATGTTTAGGATTAAAGTTTCAGGGTATCTGTTTTTACTTTCTTTTTTTTTTTTTTTTTTGAGTTGGAGTCTCACTCTGTCGCCCAGACTGGAGTGCAGTGGCCGCTCCCGGCCACCGCAGCCTTGACCTGCTAGGCTCTAGAGATCCTTCCGCCTCAGCCTTCCAAGTAGCCGGAATTACAGGCATGCGCTACCACGCCCGGCTGATTTTTTTTATTTATTGTAGAGATGAGGTCTTGCTGCCTCATCTGTTTTTACTTTCTAATAGTGGTATATATAGGCATATAGACCCCCCCCATATGTGTGTGTATGGATGTATGACAAAATACAGCAACAATGTTAACAGTTGAAATCTAATTTGTGGAAATATGGGCATTCGTTGTATTATTCTTTCAACTTTTCTGTATGCTTCAAACATTCTATAATAAAACATTAGGTTTATAAAAAAGGAACTAGAAAAATGTGATCCATGAAGTTCTAAAAAAATTGTCATTTGATTATAAGTAATTTTTTTATGTCATTGTACTTTCATGTATTATTTTAAAAGCTTTCTATTGAGAGCAGGTATTTCTTTTGAAATCACATAATAAAATACTTATCATACAAAAATTTAAAGTTGTTTATTATAACTTAAAACATTTTGTAGAGCACTCATTACATATATTCCCAGATTATTATTTGGAACCTACACCATTTTGAGGGATTTTGAGTATTCAGTGAAAGAAAGTAATTGATGATGTTGGTTAATCTATGGTGGAATCTCTTTTGAAGTACCACCAGGAAACAATTTTTAATTTTTTAAAAGAAATCTTCTATACACCTATATTTTAAGGGAGAGGCTGTATGCTCATTTACTGTAGGATAACAAATCATGACTTATGTTTGCTGCATGAGCAGGGAGCAGAGTGGAACCACATGGAGAGCATGGAATGTTGCATCAGGCAAGAGCAAGTTGCCGTTTTATGTTTTCTCATTTGTAAAATGAAATAATAACAACTCCTGACAAGTAAATGAGGCACTCAAGACAGTAAACATGCAATAAACAGTAGACATTATTGTTATTACTTACTTTATCTACTCTGAAAACAGTATAAATTGCAGATAACAAATGAATGAGATATTATGATTCTAAAGTTACCAATTCTGGAAGGAAACAGATTTGGTAACCTCTGTCTTTGTAGATCTGTCCTTACCAGATACTGTCTCCAAATCTTGAATGATTCTTCTAAAGATGGTTAAAGAAACATTTTAGACGAAATCAATTTAACAGAGTTCATTTGAGCAAAGAACAATGCATGAATTGGGCAGTAGTCAAAACCAAAGGAGCTTCAGAGAGCTCCATCTATTCCTACAACATGAGTGGGGAGTTTTATAGGCTACATGTGGAAGTAAAATAAAGAAATTACTTGATTAGCTATAGGTGGTGTTTGCTTTATTTGGGTATGGTCTGATGGAAAGAATGTAATTATATAATCAATAAGGTGGTTGGCTGTTTGTGAATGGCTGAGGCTCATTTTATTGTTGCTTTGTGTTTTGTTTTGTTTTAAGTCAGTTACAAGAAATGCCTTTTAAGGGCTCCAAGTACGGAAACAACTTCATGCTAATGGCCTCTTTATTTAAGATAACAGAGATAAGCAGTGTCCTCCAACCCCCAATTTTGGCTTTTACAAATCTTTTGCTCACCAATTATTATAGTATTTATCAATTACTGTAGATCTGATATGTAAGTAGGCTTTAATATGGTTCCTTTTTTATAAGATTAATTAACCTCTCAATACTGATTGCCCCAACTATGGACAAATAAACCTCTGAATAGGACATATAGGTAAAACAAGCCTTGCAAGGGGTTTCACCAAGCTGTTATAGCCTGTCTGCTTTTCAGTGGATTTCAACCACACTAATGTTTCATTTGGTAAGAATTGTACATTTATGAAAGTGATTTATTGCTAGTTATTCATATAAAGAACTATTAAAGAAAGACTTCAGCCACTTCTAGTATTTATTGGCCATAGTTTAGTAACATATTTGTTTAATGATTAAGGAAAATATGATCTAATTCCATTTAGCATGGTATAATGGCAAATAATAGATTTGAGTCAGAAAACTTGCTTTGTGACCTTTTACCATTTCCTAGTTATTTGTCCTTGTAAAAAAACACCAAATAACTATTACTTTTAGTTTTCTCATTTATAAAAACATGAGCCTCTTTTTAAAAAAAAAATTAAATAAGACTGTTTAGGAATGTACTTTGTAAATAATAAAGAACAATATAAATTACTACTATTTTTCTATTATTATTATTCTTATCAATCTTCTTATTTAACATAATTTCATTGACCTACACATCCAGGCTGTGATTCTGCTCTAGAAAACATAATAGCACTTGATATTTTTGTCTAACCAAGGGTGAGTAGTACAGAATCAAATGATGATCTTTTATTGTCTCCTATTTTGCCCCCTTTTCCCCCTTTTCTGAATACCCCACAGTGTGCCAGAAATGAAATCATTCTCTATATTATTAAAGAAAGACTTCAGCCACTTCTGGTATTTATTGGCCATAGTTTAGTAACATATTTATTTAATAATTAAGGAAAATATGATCTAATTCCATTTAGCATGGTATTAGGAACATACAGACTTCTTTTTCACTTCTCAAAATAATTTGATAAACTCGTGGCTTATTTTATCTTTTCACCAAAATAAAGGAACATATAAGCTATTTAAAGCTTTTACATACTCTGTCAAAATATTTGCATTAGGGAAAGGTTGGTCAATGGGTACAAAGTCACAGCTAATTAGATACAAGGATTAAGGTCTGGAGTTCTATTGTACAGTAGGGTTACTATAGTTAGCAATAATGCTTTATATATTTCAAAATAATTAGAAAAGAGGATTTTGAATGTTCTCACCACAAAGAAACAATAAAACTTTAAGGTGACAAATTTGGTAATTACCCTGATTTGATCATTACACAATGTATACATGTATCAATTTGTAACCCATATATATAGATAATTATTATGTATTAATTAAAAATAAAACAACACTATAAGAATTACATTCATTCCCAGTGTCCTAGTAAGAAAAATAATTCTGTTTCTAGACATAATGAAATCTTAGTCATACTACATAGGAGAAGTTGCTGGCATAGTCTTTTCCCTTCAGGTTTTATCTTTCTGCATTGATGAATACTCTCTTGGAAGAACTCTAGGGAAGTTCCAGTAGCCATCAGAAGTGATAGGTGACTTGGAAGGCTGTGAAGGACACTTGAATCCATACTGAATTGTGGCTTTAGTATGGCTTCATGTGGAACGTTGTTTTTAGAGATCTCACTTGTGTGATGTACCAGATGTCTACCATGCCGGACATTGCGCTTTAAGATTCCAGGAGACATTTTGTAGGAGACAAGATGCCACCTTGGCATCACCATCAGCTCTGCATCTAGTTAATTACAGCCTGAATTTCTGGATCCCAAATGAATGTCTGTAGCATCCCTTGATATTTAAAAGCCACCTACATTGGTGTGGAGTAACATTCTCAGGAGGAAGATTACAGTGGTCCTTGTTTTTAAAGTCTGTGCATTTAGCCTTTGGGGATGAAAGTCACTGTTATTTTGTTTCATCTTCTTTTATTAAACTTTTTTTTTTTTACATTTTTATAGCATGTCAATGAAAAAAACAGTGGATCGCCTTCCAAGTCAGGAGAAAAGAAAGAATCAGATGAGGTAATTTTCACAATATCGGGCTTTCATTTTCTCTTGCTTTTCAACTATAAATTCTGTCTTGAAACTTTAAACAATGATGTAGCAAAGAACTTCTACTGAAATATTGGCAAGTTTAGTTTTAATCAAGCTTTTATTCAAGAATATAAATGGAAATTATTAAAAAACAGTAAAAATAAACTGTTCCTAGGAACAAAACATTTATAAATAGTTTCCTTATTGAGATAGAACTTGGTTGTTTAGGGTGCTTTCCCTATTGGAATTAGTGAATTTAAATGGTTTTGTTGGTGAACATGACAAGTCTAGAAGGGAAAAAAATCTGTAATAGAAAAGAAAATACTTTTTTATGAGAGTGTACCATGAAAGGAGAAGAGAGATGGCCTAGATTAACCAGTCATTCAGGTTCATAAACAAAAGGAAGAGAGAGAACTATTTTTACTTGCATAGATTCTGTAGAAATACTAGTAAACCAAATCTTCCCACTTTGAGATGGGTTTTCTTTGAGCCTGTAAATTTCTTCTTTCACGGAATGATGCACCATTATGTGCACTCTCCACACTGACCTACTTCTCTGTGGAAGGGTCATGTGAAAGTTCTGTTCTTCACAAAGGTACTGGATTGGCCTCTCTCTAGATGCTTTTCATATGTTAAATCTCAATGGATGCATTTGTCTTCATTCAGTAGAAACTGTGTCATGTCCAACTTGTAAAGTCATATAGCCAAGTCCTGAAAGGTATCTGGAAATTTAGAAAGCATAAGGTAACTTTTATTTTTCTCTACACTATCACTTAAACAGGTGTTTGTGGAAATTTAGTCCCTCTTTCTGCTTGTTTTCTTCAGTTATCAAGATATCCAATATGTAAGGAGGCTGTAGGGCTAGAACCCATTGTGCATTCTACACTGAAGTTTATTCTCTAGTTCCCTAGTTTTCTACCATTGTTTCCATTACCAGTACACATAAAAATATAATTTAGGTTGTTCCTTACCACGTAAATTTGTAGTGATTTTTTTTTATAGCCATGAAAGTCAAATATTTCTTTTAAAAAATAAAATAAAAGTAAACTTATCAAGATTTCATTCTGAGTTTTTTTGGTTAAATTATTAAAAAATAAATTTTCATTTGAAAACCACTTTACCAACATGAAAATTTACCTAGTATCATTTAGTTCCTTTATTAACACTACCCTTTAAATAGATTTCCTGATAAGTTATCTATCAAGTTAATTATTCAGGCAAATAACCAAGACTTCCTTATTGAAAACTATAGTATTCCCTTATTCTCCAGACCAGGAAATAACTTTTTTGGATGCTATTTTTTTATAATGTTAATCAGATTAAACTATTTGCATAGAAGGAATTTCTTTTTCCCAATATAATCAAGTGGATGGTAAGTCAGTTCTTATATGGGTATTCTGGCCAATTATATTATAATTTGGAAACTTAAATATTGCTTCTTGAATGAACAGGCATTATTGGTTTCTACAACAACTGCTAGCACAGAGTTAAGTCTTTATGTAATGTCTAGATTATAAAGCTCCTTATCTCCATATTTATAAAAGGCTTAGAAAGGAAAACTCTACTAAAAAGTCCTGTTAAAATACTGCCAGGGAAAAACTCGAGATTTCTTAGAGGCAGACTGTACTTTCATCTTGAAACTTAAAGGTTGCACTTCTGCCTCAAGGGAGTAAGAAGAGATTTTTCTTCTCTTTATGGGCAATTTAAGCAATTCTGATATTGTTTTATAACATTACTGGTAAAGTCACATTAACAACTCCTGCCCTTGGGCCAGAGCCTGGACATATGGGTCTATTCGCCTCTGTGTCAGCCAGCAGACGCAAAGAGGGGCAGAGGCCTTGCTCTTTGACTTAAATCATGACTTTAAACTAAATACATTTAACAGAGTTCATTTGTGCAAAGAATGGTTCATAAATTGGGCAGCACTAAAAATCGGAAGAGACTTGGAGAGCTCCTCTTACTCATTAAATTCTACCTGTATTGATTTGCTAGGGTGGACAGGCATGGGGGTGGGTGACATGGTCATCAAGGATATTTCCAAAATGGTCTGTCCCAAAGGATCTCGAATTCTTTATGTCATGTGCAAATAAGGCATTGATGAGATATTGTGGCCCTGGTGACAATTCAAGGAAATTGTCACACATGAGGCATTATTTTAGCCTTTATGCTCATGATTATAAAACCATGAGCAATCTGGATTTCTTATCTGCCCTGCTCACCATCTGTGGTTAGTTACCATCCTCTTTTCTTCTCAAAATTACCAGAGAAAGACTTCCTAAAACTGATTCTTTTTCCTGAGTATTTTCTTACCTACTACTGTGTTGAACAAGAAGTGAGATTAGGACTCTTAGTTTGGGCTTCGGTAATCTATTTTCTAACTAGCATGTACCTCCGAAGACTCAATAACTTACTGTCCCCAAGAATATATACTGGCTAGTCCTCTAAGAACAAACCAGGGCCTTTGAAACAAAGTCAGTCAGAAACTTTGCTTTTCTATCTTGGCAGTTATTTCCTCTCTCCTTATCATCTGCTGCATTTCACTTAGAGATGCAAGAAAAGGGCAGAGGAGGATTTTAGGAGTATATAACCGAGGAAAAAGTTCATTAGGGTTAGGGGAAAACCACCATTATATTGCTGTATATAAAAATATAGGAGGATGAAAGCAGCTGCATGAATTTCAGAGCTCTTTCTCTCTTGCTATTGTCAATAGTTCTTACTTTTTTGGAATATAACCCTTATGCAGACATTTCATGATCCTAAGATATTTGCAGCAATCTTAATAGAATTTTGCAACAAATATATCATTTGTCAGGCTGCATTTGAAATACAAATGCTTGAGATAGGGTAGGGTAAAGTGTCTATTAGAATGTATGTCTGCTTATACCAGTCATTTATGAATTCACCAAGTTCTTCTCAGATGTAGATGCATTATAAGACCTAAAGTTTCATGGACTATCAAGCCAATGATACAATAACTAAAGAACAGGAAAAAGAAAATGAAAACATTAACATCAGCATCTTTAAATACAGTGGAATAAAGTCTTTCCAAACCTGCAATCAAATCTATTTAAAGGATTTGACTGACACATCTGGCCACACTGGGGGAGTGTGAGTCTTTTAGCAATGTATTTCAGTGAAGCGTTGGAAAATGGAATTTAAAGTTTAAAATGAACATGACCTCACAGAGCCAATTTTAAAAGCTTAAAATTTAGCAATGGATATATTTTTATGAGTAGAGAAATATATAAATAAAAATAGTATAAATTGTGTCTTAAAGGAAGATATTTTATACATTTTCTTTTACCACAACAGCATTGGTGACATTATATTCCTTAGTATTTACTTTTCCTTTTTCTAACATGAATGAATTACTCAGACATTTACAAATTTTTCTTACTCTAAAAAAATAAAGTTAGCCTTTTCTTCATTTCAAAAGTAGTACATACTTGTGAAAAACAAACAATATTACTCTGAGCCTTACCTCTTAGTTGTAACTATTGCTACAGAATTTTGTGTGCATTCTTTAATTAATGTGATAATGTTGTGTATAATTATTGCGTATAGTGATTTTAGTGCAGCTAAAATATAATCATTGAAGAAAATGTAGAAGTTGCCAAAGAATTTAAAGAAAATAAATACCCTCATCTAGAGTTCTAACACCTAGAGAGATGGGCATGCTGTATCTTTTTTTCTATGCAGATATATTACATTTAATGAAATACTGTATATCCCAATTTTTAAGCAGAAATAACAAAGGCACATCATTATTAGGACCTAGTCTGGAAATGATAAATAGTGTGCTTTTTGGTAGATAAATCTTTTCCAGTAAAAAAGCCCATCTACATTTAAATAAACAAAGATTCACTATTCAAGTACTTTGACATTTAATATAGTATTTAATCTAGTCATTATTTTGTGCTCAGTTTTTTTTTTTTCAGGGGGAACATCTTGTTCAAGAAGTCATTTGGGACAGTGTTCCCACAAGCAAATGATTTAGCCATCACTAACAAATTCTAGAAGAGTACTGCAGTAAACATTGTTTTAGGATTGTTTTATGTGTCATGACAAGAGAGTCTATGTTAATTGTGGGGAGTTGACTATAGCTGCATAAGCCTATGTCCCAGTGCCAATAAAAAGGCAGAGCTGAGGAGCTGCACCAAGGCATTTCCACCTGGCTCATGCGACCAAGGCATTCCCACCTGATTCATGCACCAAGGTATTCCCATCTGGTTCATGCACCAAGGCATTCCCATCTGGTTCACGCACCAAGGCATTCCCATGTGGCTCTTGCACCGAAGTAGTGCAGTCCTACTTGGGTCTTGCACCGAGACAGTCCTGCCTGGTTCATGCACCAAGGCATTCTTATGTGGCTTTTGCACTAAGGTATTCCCATGTGGCTCTTGCATCGAGGCAGGGCAATCCCACTTGGCTCTTACATGAGGCAGTCCCACCTTGTTCAGGCACCAGGGCAGTTCCACCTGGCTCACCAAGGAGATCCAGACTTCTGGGTCCCACACAGAATCCCTTGGGTGTCTGACTTGGGAAGCTAAACTGACTATGGGTGGTTCCAAGATTCTTTTGAGCTGTAGTTTAGTTTTACATTTTTACTTCGTTGACTAGAGTATTTTTTAAAAGATGTTTTCAGGAAAGCAGCACAATGGTGATAATCTGAATCTGTGTTAATTTAAGCATGTTTTCCTGTTGGCCACACACAAGAAAGTCAGTCAATTCAAAATTGTGTAACATTCTTGAGTAACAGCTTTATTCCCTCAAAATTCTGTACCTAGTGCTTCATGGTTTTTTGACTTCTTTGTGCTATCGAGATGTCTGTGGCAGCCTAATTTTGATTTATTTTTAGGAAGCTTATTTTTCTTGCCTTGGTACTTGTAAGATTTTTTCTTTTGTCCTTACAATTTTGAAAAATTGTCAGGTGTGCCTATCTATGCTTCTCTATTAATTTTTCCTGGAATAGCTGTTACTTAATTATT